ATATACTTTCAAATAAATGTAGTATTTGTGTATATCTTCACACCATCGTCGTCATCAGATTCAATCATATTTCATCGTTATTTTAACAATAATCAATGGTCGTTGAAAATACGATCAAACAAAGTAGGCAAAGAAGGAAGAAAAATTATTAGGTGCGGAGTATGAACCTCTCACTCCGCTGAAATGAGGAGAGAGAGGACATGAGAGAGACCTCCTCTCTCTCCTCATTTCAGTTGCCGACCCGCGCCTAATAACTTTTAAGGCAGAAGAAGACATGAGCAAAAGAAAAGGTTAATGGTGGTTTGGGACCCACCAATGTGTGAAGCTAGGCTTATTGTTCACGGGGCCTGGTAAACTTTGCCTAGCTTGCTTTGGAAGCAAAGGATGAAAATTAGTTTGGGTTGTTCAACCTTTTTGACAGGACCGAAATGTGAGCCTTAAATCACACAATAAAAGGGGTTTTTTTTTTATTTTATTATTTACAATAAAAGGTCAGTGCATTTATAAATGTATAAAATATGAAAATTTATCAGGGGCATTTACATGCATACCACACAATTCTTATATATTTACATATCTAACAATTAAAATTTCATATTTAATTTATTATACTTATTTCTTTATCATCACATTAATAAAAATAAAAAAAATTAAATACTCCTTTTTCATGCATATGTTTATAATATCATCCTGTTATTGAAGTAAATATTAAACTTTAGTGTTAGCTATGTAAATACATAAACTGCGTGGTATTCATATGGTGAGATTAAAATTTTTAATTCGGGGCATTATATATATATATATCACACAGTGTGTGTGCTGGGCCAGGGCGTGTTGGGTTTTAAGATAAATGGGCCTTATTTATTTGGGTGCTTTTAAAAGCTTTAATTCAATGGATAGGGCAAAGATACAGTCCTTGTACGGATGCTTCCATGTCAGGTGGAATCCTACTTGGGATTTGTTTGTTTGGTCATGGCCCATGAGAATTAGGAATCTTATATTTATTTCTCCTATATTTTTATTTTTTTATGTCTGATTTACAGTAAAAGAAAACAAAACTAATATAAAAAAAAATCTTACTTACACTTAAAATGAAAATTAATTTTTTTGCCTTTTAAATGCCGTACTATGATCTCTCGTAGCTCTTATCGGCCACCACTTGTTGCATTTCAATAAATTTGATTTCATATGATAATGATTTCAGTTACTTAAGTTTTCATGTAATTTAAAAACGTCGACCCAAAATACCAGTAACCTTCTTAAATCCCAATGCTTGGACATGCTGGTTAGCCTCATTTGTCGTCAGGGTAAGAGTGCTTGATCAACTAGCTTTTATGCACCCTTTTTAAATCTTGTGTGAAGAAAATTTTATGACATGAGTGAAAGAGTATCAAATCATGATTGAATGGAGATTTCACACTCTAAATGACTAAAAGAGTAACTCATAGAAGATTAGATGTGCAAAAAACTATAGAGTATGGCTGCAAATGAACTCAACCAAGCCAAGCAAACAGTTGTTCAAGCTTAAGCTCATTTAGTAAGAGCTTGCTCGAGCTAGATTTGAGCTCAAGCTTGGACATGCTGGTTAGCCTCATTTGTCGTCAGGGTAAGAGTGCTTGATCAACTAGCTTTTATGCACCCTTTTTAAATCTTGTGTGAAGAAAATTTTATGACATGAGTGAAAGAGTATCAAATCATGATTGAATGGAGATTTCACACTCTAAATGACTAAAAGAGTAACTCATAGAAGATTAGATGTGCAAAAAACTATAGAGTATGGCTGCAAATGAACTCAGCCAAGCCAAGCAAACAGTTGTTCAAGCTTGAGGTCATTTAGTAAGAGCTTGCTTGAGCTAGATTTGAGCTTAAAAGACTATATTCTAGCTTGAGCTCATTTACAAATACCCAATTCAAGCTTCATTCAAGTTTGGATCATATAATAATTTTCAAACATATGAATAAACAACTCGTTTACCGAATAAGCATAATTGAGCCATACTTGAGCTCTATACGAACAAATTGTTGGGAAAATAAACATGTTGTATCAAATTAATAATGCTCGTTGAGTATAAAAATAAACTTTTAAATGAAACTGTTAATCAACGAGCCGGTTGTAATCGAGCCGATTCATGAGGTTTAAATGATACAAATCATGAACACAAATGAACAAATGGAAGTAATTCAAGCTTGTTCCTTTTGTAATTGTGTACTTATAAAAGTGTTTAAGATCATTTAATTAGTTAATCAAACGATCACGGGCTATCTTCAACCAACGAGTCCACAGTAATTAGTTGAACTCTGGGATCGTTTGTAGCCCTAATATAGGGCCTGGCTTTGCTGAAATAATTTCACCCATGATAACTTATTACGAAGGATGTATTTTCTCATATTGAAGAATTCACTAATATAATACAACACAAATGACATAAAAAAGATAGCTTTATAATTCATACCCGTCACGTCTCACATACCATATATTCATTGATATTTGACCACAATGGAGGAGAAATTTCAAACAAAATGAAAATTTCCCATTAGGCTTTTTATTATTTTTTATTTTTGAATATAAATGTATTTTTCTAATCTATATAGACTTAAGAACACTTCTAATCCATATGGTTGTCTTCTTAAGCAATAATAATCTTCTAAACCAAAATTATGGCTTCATACACTTTAGATATTGATTTTTTTCTTAAAGGTTTGTGAGAGTTTCCTGCAATAGAAATTCTCACATCAAAAACTCTTTTTCCTCATAAGACTTTAACCTTAGCATCTCAAAGAAAACTTCACCATATATAAAATTCTAAAAACGTTAATTAGTTTTCTTTGAATTTTATATGTTCGAAAGGTTTTAGAGAAATTCAACCCGAAACCCATACATTGAAATATCTTGCGCAAACTCAGTCGAAGAGATTAGAGTTATAAAAACCGATAATTAAAATCATAGTGAAATTTGCAGCAAAGATCACATGTCATAGTTATCATTTGTGTAAAACTATATAAAATTTTGAGATATTTTATCTCCTTCGTATTTTATTTACTCTTATTGATTGAGTTAGAACTTGTCTGGATCACAACATTACTTTACCTCGAGCAACAAACGACTCCAATTTGAAAATTATCCATCAACAAGCATATTAAAGGTTGTCGACCCATTTAATAGTCTGCAAGTGGGAGTTTGTTATTACGCAGGTGCAGATCAAACTTGAGACCTTATCAACAACTCGAAGACTCTTATCAAAGATGTTAGTTAGTACCTAAAATCTATAGGATTTGAGTCAATAGTATTGTAAATAACACAATTTCATTTTAGTTTTATACATAATTAAATTTTGAATGTTGAACATCAAACCATTGCCCCCACTAAAAGTATTCAGGATTAACTTCTAAATGAATTAGTTGATTTCATCAAATGATTAGATATTCAAGTACATATCACACAATAACAAAAGATTTAAGTATTTAAAGTAGAAAGCATAGTGAATAACAATAATAAGAAAATATGTTTTTCAAATCAACAACATATTAACAAATAAGGAGACGCAGGGCCAAACTTAGGATGGCTGATGCTGGAGACCATCCTTTACGCTTCTTTAGTTACCTGCTCCAAAGTATTTTCATTTCACTAAATGTACTAATAAAATGGAGGTGAAGCTTGAAGTCCATGAAAACTATCAAGACATGGGTCTTTATTTTGCCAAACTTACGGGGGTTTTGGCAGCACATTTGAATAGGATTTACCATCGGATTTATGAAATCCAGCCAAAAGTAAATATGTGCAAAAGTTTAGGGCCAAAATTTTGCCTTATATAACCAGTAATTTCATTAGGCTTTATATAGCCATGTGTTACTCCCTCTTCAAGTTCTTTGAACATTGAGGAGCTTAGTTGAAAGATCACAATGCTTAAGGCCTCATTTGGGATCGCTCTTGTTTTTTGTTTTCTATTTTAATTTTAATTTTAATTTATTTATATTTTGATTTGAATTAATGTATGTTTGGGTGTAGTAGTTGTTGTTTTTAAAAGCATTCAAAACATCTTTTAAGGTTTTTGGTGCTTTTTAAAAAACGAGGCAATTTGTCTTTAAAAGAAAAAAAAAATAAAAATATATAAAAAATATACTAATCAAATATGTTTTCAAAAATAAAAGTATAAAAAAAAAAAAACATAAAAGAAAGTGATGTAAAATGGGGTCTAATCTTTTGGAGAGGGACATCTTGTAGCTCTCCACTGCCCCTGGCACTTGTATAAAGGTTTTGATGGGGTAATTGAAGAGCATACGATGTATGATTCCTTTTTCGAGCTCTCTTTATGATTTCCTTCTAAAAATTGGGTGTCATAATCCTTTTAGGTAATTTGACCTACTTATATTTGTGGGATTAGGAAGATAAAACCTAATGACACTCCACCCTTCACCACTAGCTTCATGACAAACCCTCTACTATAAAATTCCATATTACAATAATAGCTCAAAGCATTTTTGTCAAACATTCATGTTTATGAAGAATATGAGCCTTTTAACTTAATATGGAATTTTATAAACTTAACTTCTAACTCCATTTCACTTTAGGCAATGCTACCCTTTTAACAATCATAATCTAGAACACTCTATAGTCAAATTTTTCTTTCTTTTTTTTCCTCTTGTCTCTCATCTCTCACCATGCATAAATGTCAAGCGCATAGGACTTGGAACTTTTTTAGCTTATCTTTGATAAGGGATGGTTTAGGATAATAATTCCTATGAGCTTCCTTTGAACGCTATAGTGATCCAACTTAAGGATCTATTTGAAACAACTTTCTGTTTGCTTTGCATTTCAGATCACCACCACAGCTCTTTTTAAAAAAATTACTTTCTCAATGATTTTTATAACTATGCTTACAAAAAAGCTATAGCCAACCTAAATGGATTCATTCAAAAGGATATTATTGGACTGCCATTTAGAAACCTTAAGAGGGCATAAATGTAATACAAGGAATATATTCAATTCATTAATAGCCAGCCTTTTGAAACTCCAACCCAACACAATTATCTTCCAAAGCAATACATTCATTTTAGTTTAATCCAATCATTATGCTTATAAAAGCACATTTTTAATACATTACTAAAAATGAAAAGAATCTAAAAAGCACTGCATTCAAAAACTACATAGATTCACAACTGTAACATCTACCCAGCACCTAATCACCAAGTTCTGAAGCTCATAAACCTTGAATAATTCCTTAAATCCGCAACTGTAACTCCTTGGAATTCTTCTGAAACTCTGCTGATGCAGGAGGCAAAGCCATCTCTAGCTTCAGTGTTCATTTCAGAGACAAAAATAAAATATCAACTAGTGTCGACATTAGTCCGTCCTATAATTATTTACATGGGGCTATTTTAGTCTCAAACTCTATAAAAATATCAATTTAATCATTATTTTTTCTAAATGTTAAGAGAGTCGATGGACTATTCTGACATTTTTCTCAAAAAAAGAATATCACCAGTCATCTACTTGGAGCGACGGAGAAAATCTCTCATTTGTTGGTGTAGTTCGCCGCGAACAATCAACCGCATCTTCTTCGAGTCTTCCCACAAAAATCCGCCGAACTCCCGTGCGAAATCAGCAGCACCTTCAAATAACTCCTGGATGCCAAATATTTTATGAAATTGCAAAAATTATAAGAAATTTGCAGGGTAACAAATGATAAAGAGTTTAGTGATATGTGGAGAGTAGAAATGCCACCTTTGATGGGAAATCTTCATAAAGATGTGAAGGAATCATCTCGACCCGGTTTCGATCTGTTTCCCATAACCTAATCTGTCGACAATCGATGAGTCAATATTAAGAGCTTAATAGTGAGAAAGGAACAATTTTGACATGGAAGAATTACATTCATACCATAAAAGTTTAAGAGGTACTTCTGATGGGATATTAAAGACTTTGGTGATGAAAATGTAAAAAAGCAAAATTTAGGTGTTAGATATGTAAAAACATAGGAATTAAGTGGTATGTATGAAAATGCCCCTTCTTAAAAAGCTAGCAGAACATTTAACTGGCTTCAACATAAGCAGCAGGTTCAAATAATGGAAGGTGGAACCCGTACATTCTACTGGTCCAGAAAAAAAGAAGAATATTTGGGGTATTTACAAATATACTACACAATTCTCATCTATTTACATATCCAACACCTAGACTTTCATATTTACATGCATACCACTCAAATCTTTAACATCACATAAAAAATAGCACTATTTGAAAAAGTGAAATACACTTTTTCATGCATAGGTTTATAACAGCAAAATGTTATAAATGTAAATATCAAACTTCAGTTCTTAGATATGTAAATACATAAGAATTGTGTGGCATGCATGTAAAATTCCCAAAAAGATTTTTAGTACAGCAGATTCAAGCATGTAAAACCTAGATCAACAAGCATCAGGAAGCCTTAGAAAAATACAAATTACAATCCAATTGATAATTGGTACTTCATCTTCCCAGTAGAATTCACCACATACTGAATTAGCCCAATTCCAATGTATTTACATATCTAACACTTCCATTTTACTTTTACAGTTATACCACACAAATCTTTTATATCACATAAAAGCACGATTTTTTTAATTTTTTTTAAAAAAAGTGAAAACACATTTTAGTGCATAGGAAGGTGGCATATATGTAAAATACTAAATTTAGGTGTTAGATATATGTAAATACATAGATGTAAATCTTCCAAGAAAAAACATTGGTGCTCCTTGACGGCCAACTATACCTGATCAGTGACATTCTCTGGCACTGTTGGTACTCTTTCAGCGATTCGAGGATGCGCATTCTGCTGAAGGAAAGAAATTATCTGAAAGAACACAATTCGGGAATAAATTTCAAAAGGCAGACTTAAAAAAATTCCAATTTGACCCAAGAAATAGTACAAGTTGCTAAAGATCCCATTAAAAGAACCACTCCTGCATTTCTTTTTCTTTTTCAAATTCTCACTCAAATATCGAAATTCATAGCAAGACTCCAAACGATGTTTTTTTATTTGGGGCATTCGAAATTCATAGCAAGACTCCAAACGATGTTTTTTTTATTTGGGGCATTTACATGCATACCACATAATTTTTACGTATTTACATGTCTTCCACATAAACAATCATATTTACATGCATACCACTCAGATGTGCAACAACACGCAAAAAAAATATCACCATCACCATCTTTTTAAAGGTAAATTACACCTTTTCATATATAAATTTATGACATCAAGGTGTTATAAGTGTAAAGATCAAACTTATATGAAACTACATAAGAATTGTGCCGTATGTATGTAAATTTCCCATTTTATTTTTATCGAATACCAAATTTTTTTATTATGGCAGGCCTAAATACATGGGCTCGACAGTTCAAAAAAATGAGCTAGGCCTTCATTTTGTAAATAGAAATGTTTGGGCTGGTATGTATGTAAATATCCCAAATTATAGAAAAAAAAAGCAATTTTCTAAATAGAAACTACTTGAAAGGGTAAAGTCATCTTAGTAAGAGGAAAGTCATCTTAGTAAGAGGAAGGTTTAATTTGAAAAACACAAACAGATGGAAAGATAGAAAGTAAAACAGTAGTATGATAAGGAAGTTTTGGACTCTAAATAATGGAAAGTAAATAATAGGGCGTTTCATGCCTGGTCAGCAGTGATTCCATTTTCAAAAGCTGTATAGAGGCTTTCCTTTGTTATTGCACCAACAATAAGGTTTGGCAGCTGGTATTCAATCCTGCAAAATAAATGAAATAAACTGATACAATAAAATGCATAATTTGGTTCCCGAATAATCATGAAAACGAATATAACTAATATATGATATTCCATGAAAATGATAAAGTGAATGTATGATAAAACTGCAAATAGTAGATATGGATGATTACTTAAATAAATAGACAATAGTATTTACTAACACGGTTGTAAAAGTAGACTTGTGTATTAACATATAGGAGGGATAGAAGATGCTCAAATAAATCGGATGAAGCTAATGATGATGATAAGTATATATGCATTTGTAAACCAAATACTATATAAAAATATATAGTTATAAACAGCGAGTATATTCCATCATTTTGATTTTATTCAGCTTCCTCAAGTCCTCGACAAGAGAGCCCTACCCACAATAGACCATTCCAAACAAATTGGTTTTGTTTGGGAACTAAATTTGAAAAACTCACTTGATAGGAAGCCATCACTTGGTTGTTTACAGATAGCATACATATTTTAGAAAGGGGCATTTACATACATACCACAGAATTCTTATATAATCACATGTTCAACACCTAAACTTTTATATTTACATGAATTATACTCAAATCTTTAACATTAAATAAAAAAATACCACTCTTAACTTTACAAAAAGTGAAATACACATATTCATGCATAGGTTTATAACAAAAAAGTGTTATCAATGTAAATATCAAACTTTAGGTGTTAGATATGTAACTACATAAGAACTGTGTGGCATGTATAAGTAAATTTCCCTTTTTAGAAAATGATGTTAATATTGTGTGAAAATAAAGTCATAATTTTGGTGGAATTTTTAATTCAAATAACCCATATTGATTTCTAATTACATCCAACCAAACAATGTAATATACTAAATTCACCATATCGAAAGCAAATTCCTTACTTAAGCAATCAAACGAGTCCTAAGACAACCAAAGAAATACAATAGCTATGTTTTCTCAAATGACGTGCCCCACAGGAAACAAATCCTCACTATTGGTATGGTTTAGATTTCACTTAGCCAAAATGATTGAAGGAACAAAGGAAGAATTACTCCATCTAATTGATGAGTAATCAATCTTAGTCAAAGTGACCGTATTTCTAAGATCCAAACTGGAATCCTGGCTTGCAAAAGAGAGTCCATGTCAAATAAATCTAACAAAGGACGATTTTTTTAAAAAAGAAAACAGAAAAATTACATAAATAACACACAATTCTTATGTAAAGTGTTTTTATTGGTCCACCGAATCAAAAGTTTACATATATGCTTGAATGTAGTTTAGGAGGTTCTTTCAATGATTCAAAATCATGACCTTTGCATTGCCAAGAGATTACTTTTAATACAAAATAAAGTTTTGAATTTTATGTAGAAGATAAATATTTCATAGTCAGTATATTGCAAATTTCTTGCCCATGCAAAATTCTAATTATAAAGTATCTGGCCTCACCCTGCATTACAAAGTAATTACAACCTAATCATACCTCTTATGCCAACCCTTTCCCACCTTGAATACTACTCCATAATCCATAAGAATAACAGTTTATGTTAATCTAATTTTTTAGTAGCAGAACTAAATGCCTAGAGAGAATGATTCTCATCCAAATTATCACCACCCACAATAGTGATTTAGAAATAAGTTGATGAGTTTCTTAACGAAACTATATTCCAGAATAATTAAAAGGCTCAATTACCTTGAAAATAAGCGCAGAATCCAACCAAACAATGTAATATACTAAATTCACCATATCGAAAGCAAATTCCTTACTTAAGCAATCAAACGAGTCCTAAGACAACCAAAGAAATACAATAGCTATGTTTTCTCAAATGACGTGCCCCACAGGAAACAAGTCCTCACTATCGGTAGGGTTTAGATTTCACTTAGCCAAAATGATTGAAGGAACAAAGGAAGAATTACTCCATCTAATTGATGAGTAATCAATCTTAGTCAAAGTGACCGTATTTCTAAGATCCAAACTGGAATCCTGGCTTGCAAAAGAGAGTCCATGTCAAATAAATCTAACAAAGGACGATTTTTTTAAAAAAGAAAACAGAAAAATTACATAAATAACACACAATTCTTATGTAAAGTGTTTTTATTGGTCCACCGAATCAAAAGTTTACATATATGCTTGAATGTAGTTTAGGAGGTTCTTTCAATGATTCAAAATCATGACCTTTGCATTGCCAAGAGATTACTTTTAATACAAAATAAAGTTTTGAATTTTATGTAGAAGATAAATATTTCATAGTCAGTATATTGCAAATTTCTTGCCCATGCAAAATTCTAATTATAAAGTATCTGGCCTCACCCTGCATTACAAAGTAATTACAACCTAATCATACCTCTTATGCCAACCCTTTCCCACCTTGAATACTACTCCATAATCCATAAGAATAACAGTTTATGTTAATCTAATTTTTTAGTAGCAGAACTAAATGCCTAGAGAGAATGATTCTCATCCAAATTATCACCACCCACAATAGTGATTTAGAAATAAGTTGATGAGTTTCTTAACGAAACTATATTCCAGAATAATTAAAAGGCTCAATTACCTTGAAAATAAGCGCAGAATCTCACTGTGTAATTTGGAAGTTGAGTAAGCATACAACCTGAAGTTTGTTTCCACAACCATAAATCCCTATTGGCAAAATTTCAGACAAGAAATCAGTTTTTAACATTGCAAGGTAAACGATCTGCAAACATTTTTATCATGAGGATGCATAGATGAATAAATTAAGCTGCTTATGGATGCAATAATAAATTAAGGTGGTATTTTTGAAATACAAAACTGAAAATATTAAAAGAAAATATCTTTTACTCAACTGCATCTACTGGAATTTAAATATAATTTTTCCAGGAAGCTCATTCAAGACGAACGAAGAACAAATATCATTTTTATTTGGGGAAAATGTTACATTTTGTAAGTTTTTGAGCACTAGGTAGTTGACTCCATTAATAAACGTAAGTCTGCTAGTCCTTATGTTTACAATAAATTTGCTTGAAACTACATGTAAAACAAAGAAATTATAGGTAGCAGTGTTAATTTGCATTGACAAATTGGGTTCGGGCCGGAGTCAAATTTCACTTCAGACAAAATTATTTGACCCAAACCAAAATAGTTCAGAATAGTTAAATCTTCTATAAAAACCATGAAATTATGCTTATTTTAGCCCATGTTTATACCATATCCTCTTCAGCAATGCAAGCTAATATTTCCTTCAAAGACCAATGGTAAATGTTGTTTCCATATACCATCCTTGATACATAACATTTTAATTTCTTGCTTGGTGTGGGAATTTCTTTCAGAAAGCAATGAAATGAGCCAATAAAAGCAAATTAATGAGGAAAAAAAACATAATATGAGACCCTTAGAACAGAAAATCATTGGACCAAGGATAGTTTCATTGAATAATTTCTCATTGAATAAATGTATGTGAATTCATTGAATAATTTCTCTGAAGCGTTTTAAAGTAAAACAAATAAAGTTAAGTAATGAGTTCACATTCTACAATGAAAAAAATAGTGTAACAAGTTAATTATTCAACACTCTTCCTTTATTATTATTTTCTTTTAATGGGGCAGCATAAATCAAATTTTGGGATAAATTTGTGATCTTTTGCATTGCAGCAAATGTCTAAGACTATAGTGCTCTCATCAAAATAAGACGATAGTGCTCTCATCAAAATATTTAACAGCAAGAGAGGCTATACGAATTCTAATTAATGTAATCCTTCAAACTAGTCAAAACAGCCAAAAAAAAAAAAAAACCTGTGTTTGCATGTCAAACACTATTAAGTAAAGCCAGCCCAAAAAAAGTTTTGAAACGAGCCATTTTTGAAGCCTTTTTAGGCTCATTCATGTTTACAGTTGAATTTTGTCTATTTCATTTTAAATTTTAAAATTTTATTAGGGATTATCTTCAATTATAATAGAAATATTTAAATTTTGGAATATAATTTGCAGTAAGTTTGGCCTTATCTGTTAACCTTTCTTTTGTGAAAAAGGGATCCATGTTATTAAACTTAGGGGTATTTACATACATACCACACAATTCTTATGTATTTATATATCTAACACTTAAACATTCATATTTACAAGCATATTACTCAAATCTTTAGCAGCATATCTAACACCACATACGCATGCATAGGTTTATGACAACAAGGTGTTATAAATGTAAATATCAAATTTTAGGTGTTAGATATGTAAATACATAAGAATTGTGTGGTATACATGTAAACTTAACTAAAATTTAAATATTTTTCATTTAATTGATTTGTTTTTAAATATGTGAAAAGTAAGAACCAAACCTCCTTGCGTGACGATGAATCTGACAAGCTAATGGAGAGATTGGTAGCCAATTTGGTCGGAATAAACCAACTTTCCTTCCTTCCCTGCGGGGAGTAATTAGAGATGGTTTATCATATTTAAGGAGTTAGAAGAAGAAATCAATAATTCACATGCCTGCTGGAGTTTCACTACTCCCAGGTCTGCGAGTTCCTTCACAGTTCTGCTTTGCACTTCAGTCAGACTGTTCATATTGTAAGCCTGAAATTGAAAAAATTTCACATGTCTGACCAATGTATTTCTAGAAAAAGAACGAACCATGAAAAAAAATTGACGATAAGGAGCTAAGAGATGTTCAGAAAGAACATGCATGGGTTTCTGAAAGCAGTGAAAATATAATATTGTTTTGGGAATCAATTTTGTTTTTTGTTTTTTTTTCTAACATGTTGTTTAGTATATTTTTTTGAAGTTTTTATTTTCTGATTCTAAAAAAATCAACATGTTTTTGAAGCCACTCAAAACAACTTTAAGGTGTTTGGGTTTTTTTAAAAACAATCATACTCTAATCAAATATCCAAACATATCTGGTTTCAAATCAAAATATAAATAAATAAAATAAAATAAATAAAAAGAAAATAAAAAACAAAAAGTGATCCCAAATGGCCTCTTAGTATCCTTTTTTTTTTTAAAAAAAAGTCCTTGTTAGCTTCCCTCAGTTTCATTTCTTTTAAGTTAACTTAAGCAAGAACTAGATGACGTAGGATGCTCTAAGGTTTAGAGTTTCTAATGCACAATCCATTATGCAATGCAGATTTAGATGGGATCAACCAATGCAACAAATACACATTTTTTTGTGTGGAAAAGAGAGCCATGATTATCTGCCATACTCGCCTAAAATTTAAAAAAATCAAAATTCAACTCAAGTAAATATATATATATTTATATATACATATATATATATAACACAGGAGATATGGAAGTAATTGAAATTTCATGAGAAAAATACGATTGTTATGAATCTAACAAAAAACCAACCACATTTTCAACCAATAACAATGTGGAGAACAAAGTTGATATAAAGAAAGAACTCACAAATAGGAAAGTAACACATTTGAACAAAGAAAAGGCCTCTCCCATGATATTGGAAGTCTGAATTTGATCAAGGATTAGAATAGGAAATGGTGGGCTAATATAGCATCCTCTTAAACAGAGATGGTGTTAAGCATTTCTCTCAAAGGAGACACCAACCGAAACCAAAATCAGCGAGCAACTTGCGTTGGATATGTGGAAAAATTCAATTTAGGGCTAATTTGAATCAAGATAGAAAGGATGATCTACAATTCGAGAGACTTATCGCCTCTCTACCAATCCTAGACGCCTCAAGGAACACAAAGACAAGAAAAAAAAATGCAGCAAATCCAAAAACATGAAACAAACCCTAGCTAATTCACTCTACTAAATACTCCCCAAGATACATTGAAACTTCCGCCCAAAACCCCACTTAATTCCCCTCCTATTGTACGTTATTAATGCTGTGTGGGCTCACTCGGGAGCTAGAATAGCCCTAAGCTGCTCCTAGGGCTTCCGTCACTCCCGATTGGGCCGACTGGTCTGGGCGGTCCAGACGTGCCTTCTCTGGACCGGTTCGTCCGCCTTGTCTACAGGCACAACAGGTGTATCAGAGCCATCATTTGAGTACCAAAAGGAATAATTGAGCTTAGCAAAGATAAACACTAAGGGCTTGGTTGGGACCACTTTTGTTTTATTTTAAAAATATATTTATTTAATATCTTTTATGTTTGATTTTTATTTACAAAAAACAAATTAACTTGTTATTAAAAACACTCAAAACACCTAAAAGTTATTTTAAGTGTTTTAAAAATAACTAAACATGTTATAGCATACTGTTGACATCGCTTTCGATCGAGGTGCAGTTTTCCCCTCCTTAGTAGCCTAGGATCTAGTCGTATGACATTTTTGTCAACTACTCCTAGAAAATTAGTGGAGTCATCCCCGTTAGCAATTCTGAAATTTTCTTCGCTCGACTTGATGTTCCATATAGTAGTTTTGATCGCTATTTCTTAGCAGGTAAGGCTACTTCGAAGGAACTCAGAGTATATTCCTATAAGACTGTCGGCCTTAGGATTGACAGTACTCGTTGATTTGACGTCGTCGTCCTCTGCACCGTCTTGTTTGATCGAACTCATACCGAAATTTTGATAGGATTCGGACCGAGACGCGTTTTGACCCGATCGACGACGAGGTTGCCCGGACGACTCCGAATGACGAAACGGACAACGCCGATGCGTCTGACCTAGGGGGGACGTTCGTTTCATTGCGACGGCACGTCTTGGGGAAAATATATATTTAAATGTTAATTATAATAATAAATAATATATTATTATTATAATTATAATTAATAACTTATATTAAAAATCCTTAACCTAATTTCATTTTCCCCTCCCGTTTCTTCCTCTCGCGCTCTTGGACCTCTGCCCTAGCAGCGGTTCGCTCGGTTTCATCTGGCCCACTCCTTCGTGCCGTTGGATTCTCGTTCCCGCGCTCGCCTCGCGCGTGCGAGACGATCCCGCGACCCATCCCTTGTCGTATCTCATCCTCTGCCTCTCGCACGCTCGTATGGGGGCGTCTGCTCTTCTCGATCCTTTGATCCGTATGCGATCCCCTAATCATTCTCTCTCCTTCCCTCTGGTTTATATGATACTCTGTTGATGCGTTTCAAGTGGCCGAAAATCTCTGAGGGGGGGGGGGGGGGGGAATTTCTACTAAATGGACTGCGCCGCTCGACCGAACTGCTCGCCAGTCGCGAGCTGCCCCCTGTCCGACCCTTCTCCCCTACGCCGCATTTCCTCCTCCCTAAATGCGATATTTTCTCTCCCGATACCTCATTCGACCATCTCACCGTGGTAGGTAAGTCATTTTTCTCTCCCTTCATGCTTACATGATATTACACTTATGTTTTTTTTTTGGAAATAATTGGTACTCAAACATCTAGAAATGAAAAATGTGAGCATGTTCTAGGAGTTAGACTTGATTACTTGCTTAAAGTGGTGAAGCTATGACATGTTTTTATTTATTGTAGCATATTTCTATTGGAAGCAATTAAGAGGGTTGAAACATGGCTTTGAGACAATGTTAGCTCCTCTTGCAAGCATGTTAGGATATGTATCATGAAGCTTTCATTTATTCTTATCTAGCATGAGACATTGGAAGACTTATTTGGTCTTTCACGCATGTGGGGCTCGGTTTTAGCTCCTGTGGTTGCGCCATTTGTTCGAAATCTATATGGAGTATGAAAAGATTTATTTTTGGATGTCTCTTGAAGTTTATCTTGAAGGCTTGGTGTTTTATTTATCACTGCACTTTCTCATTCAAGTATTGGTTCAGAAAAGGAATTTTTGGAGGCCTTGAAATGTTAGCTTTGAGATTTATGCATACTTCTTTACTTCATACTATCTTGTTCATATAAAATACATGCTGAGGGGGAGTTGTTTTAGCCATTGAATGGCTCGGTTTTGGCCCTCGTTGGGTTTGGTTTTGGTCTCCTATGGCTTTGCCTTGCTCGAAACATATGCTATGAAAAAAAAAAAGAATTTCTTTAATTTGGAGGGTCCTATAAATTGTTTTGGTGGCTTGTTTTCACCCCTCATAAGGCATCCTTTTGTTTAAATACCTGTTGGAAGTCGTTTCATGCTTGAAATACTTAAGTTGGGGGGCTAAATATACTCTCTATGTTATTGTTCTTGTTTAAGGCATATATTGGCTCTATATCTTGATATTTCAAAAGCTTGTGAGCTGTTCCTTGGCTTTGAATGGCTCGGTTTTATCTTGAAATGGCCGGGATTTTTAATTTCTATTAAAGCTTGGATTTTAATCTATGCTCAGGCCTTGTCTTGGCCCTGAATGGCTCGGTTTTGGGTTTTAGTGGGTACTCGGTTTTCATTGCAAGAGCATGGGATGTTAATTTTTGTTGAGGCTTTGGAGCTTCTTTACTTCATTTATGGACCTTGAGGGGATTGTTTTGGCTTTGTTTGGGGGCTCAGTTTGCTGGTTTAGCTCCTACCCGAGAGCCTATGTTTAGGCTTTGTACTTGTCCCTACTCGAAAGTCTTGGTGGCTGCCCTGTGCTTGCTTTTGTCTCTACCCGAGGGCTGGCTGGGGGCTCAGTTTGGCTTGTCTTAGGCCCTTACCCGAGGGCCTGGCTTGTGTTTTTTTGTGTTGTTCCTATTTGTGAGCCTTGGTGGCTTCCTGAGCTGTTTCCTACTCTTACTCGTGAGACATATTGAGGTTTGTTTAATTTGATTTGGTCCTTCTTGTCGGACTCGAATTACTTGGATGATTGTTGGCAGATCAAATTTGTCATCCCAAAATTATGGTTATATTTTGTACTCTCTTATGTATATCAAAGATCCTCATGGAATTGATTCGACTTGTCTTGGCCGTGAGCCTTTCTTGTGCTTGGGCTGTTTTTCCTTACTTTGGTCGTGAGCCTTGTTCAGTGGGCACTGCCCTTGTGGCCTTCGGTTTTGCCCTCTAACCGTGAGATCAGTAGGCATAGGTATGCTTCCTTTTTGTCTCCCACCCGCGGATTTGTGTTGTGTTGGGTTCCCGCTTGCCATCTGTGGCCGTGAGCTTCCTATATGGAATTTGGTCTGGTTTGTTCTGGCACTTACCCGTGAGCTAGTTTGGAGTCCGGTTGTGCTTTTGTTGGCCTTGCCCGTGACCCTCTACCCTATTTTGGCCCTGTTTCTTGCCTTGGCCGTGAGCCTTTCCTGTGCCTTGGGTTGCCTTGGCCGTGAGCCTCTTTTGGCCCTGTTTCTTGACTTAGCCGTGAGTGCCTTGTTCTGTTGGTGGACTTAGCCGAGAGCCTTGGTGGCTGTTTGCTCTCTTCTATTGACCCCGATAGTGAGCATTTATTTGGTTCTATGAGAAGATTTTATGCTTATTTGATATATGAGGCCATTGATTAATTTGGAAGTTGGAGGATCCTGATTTTTGCATGGGTTTGGGAGTACTAGTGGTGGTATTCTCCAGGTTATTTTTCTTTTGTGGTTTGGGAGATTTCTAAGTCTCATTTTGGAAAAGCATTTGGTTGGAATGAATTAATTTAATAAAAGATATCATTGGGGTTTGGATACCGACGTTAGGAGGTCATTTTGACTTGGGTTGATCCAATTATAAAAAAGAGAGAAAATGATACCCTTTCGGATTGATTCAAGGATCTTCGGGCTTTCCTTTTCAGGTCTTTTCGTCATGAGTTTCGAGAGCTGATTCATCATCCATTCTTTTCGATGTTTTGGGTGAATCAATCCCTCCTCTCTCTCACCCCATTTTTGTTCTTTTTTTCCTTGCTTATTGGTTTGGTTTTTGATGATTATGTTTGATACATAAGTGTCCACGTATAGCCTTTTGCTATACGTGAAACCATCAAACAAGGTCGCAAGTAGGTCGGTTTTGTTTTGGGACTTAGGGCAGTGATGACAAAAGCACACCGGAGATAGAGCATAATGATATGTCATCCTACGACATCGGGATCCGATTCAGGAACCCATCAGGATCTGATTCAGGAACCCGGTGAGCTGTAGGATGACAATATCATTCATCGACACAAGACTAGCGAGAGTTGACCCGAACCTTCTTAGGTTATTGGTAGTTTTATGCTCGACAGCGCGATCGACTCGTGGACAACTACTTTTCAAAATTGATAAAAACAAATTTGATCAGAACAAACACACCTTTTTCTAAAATAAAAATATATATTTCGCTACATACAAAATTGATACAGCCCACTTTTCGCATGTTTGAAACCTATGTGCATGCTGAAAACATAAATTTTAAATACATTTTAAACATTGGCTGTCCACCTGTTGATCACCTGTTTAGACTAAGGAATACCCTCCTGAGTTAGATTCGATAGGACACCCTTCTAGTTGAGTGGCGGGCTTTATACATCCGGGTGACCGAGTAGCCTTCGACGACCCTCGAGTACTAATATATAGTTGAGCCTAGCCCAGACCCGAGTGCTTGCGGTCCCCCTCTTTTCGGACTTTTTCATATGTTTTTCTTGAAATTTTTGGACAAAGCACTCGTGGTCTCTTTTAGGGATTTTTTCGTGTTTTCTACAGATTTTCATCGATTTGTCGATTCATCGATTTCCTCGCATTTTTCTTGTCGTGAGTCTTTTGACGATTTTTTCTCGAGATTTCTGGACGATGTTTTTTTTTTTGTTTTATATAAAGCATTTCAGTCTGCTTCCTCAAATTTTGTTACTTGTACCTGACGCATCAATTACACCTAAGGAACAACGAATCTCCAAGGTATACATGTTTGTTTTATGTTTACAGCATGCTATTCTCTTATAATCACTTCCCTGCTGTACCTTTTACTTTTCTTTACACTGCATGTTGTACTGCTTTCTTTACTGCATACCCCACTGCTTGTCCTATGCTACATATTATACTGTTATGCTATACACTATACAACTTCAACATGTTATCTATAAAAATATGTGAAGAACTACAACCATAGGGCCGCTGGATTTGACATTATATCCTGCTACCCTAGAAAACTTAAACTCGTCACGAGAAGAAGCTTGGAACTAGCGCGGTGGGCAACACAACCATCTTCAACAGCAGAACATGCCTTCCTCAGCTAAACCATTCCTTTCCTAGAAATTAAAACAACAATCCATAGGATTTCGAGGTTGTTCGCCTAGCGCAACATAAATCCTCAACTTTTCGTTAGACATTCGTATAGCTCTGCTGTATGATCTAAACCCTAACTCGTTTCAGGATTTCGAGGTTGTCGTCCATCACGACCCAAATCCTCACATCTTTCAGGCTGTTTGTGTGATTGTTTCACACGAATGTAAACCTTAATTAAATAAAAATTGGCAGGGATAAAACACTTGAATATTTCTCCTCGAAACTAAAGTCAAACCATAGGGTAGACTGAGAAGTCACCGAGGATCTCTTCTAAATTTGTCGCATCCCCTAGCTCTTACTCCTTTGGATTCTGTAATAAATGTTCCAAATTTGGGTCATTCCCCTTTTGCACACCTCTTTGTCTAATTTCGTTGAAAAGTCCTATCCTTTTGACCTTTTCGAAGACAATCTTTCCTGATTTTTATCGAGAGTATTCTTAAGTGACTTCGGTCATTTAAGATGTAATTAACTATAAGGGCTTGGATCGTACAGAGCAAGCTCAAGAATTGTACAGGAAAATGAGCTCCAATGAACCCAGCTTAAAATAAATTTAATTTTTCATATTAAATAGGAGAATTTGTCGGCAAATAAAACAGTTTCGCAGACCAAACGGACGTCATGTATTTCTTAG